GTACTTGCCAATATAAGATAACGTAAACTATATAAATCTGAACAAGAATATTGAAAGGGCATCAATAATAGTTCTAAATCATTTATTCTGTTTATCAATCAATATATTTTATGCATCTAATTCAAAGCTTAAATAATCATCTATAAGTTCACATACAAATATTCAAATGTCAAATTTATTGAAAGTGTTGTTTATGATTCAATGATAAGAAGTATAAAATAACTAAAGATATTCATAGAATACTTTTGAGAACAACTCACATAATTTGTTTCAAATTGGGTAATTCGTAGCCATTCCCTGAATGGCCAACCTCAGTGCCACCATGTGGACTTGGCATAGATGTTTTACCATCAATCATTACTGCGTCTGTGAACTTATAACCGCTGTAGTGAATTGATGGATCAAATGAATTAGAAAATTTAATGTCACTTTTCGTTGAAGAATTCAGAATGGCAATACAATCTTTATAACCGCTAATGAAGGAGCTTCCCCCTCCACCGCCACAATGTTGAGGTATTTCGGAGTTTCCACCTCCGAAATACCCACCACCACCGCCAGCATTCCCATCATTATCTCCTGAGGATTCTATTCTATTTGGATTTCCAGCTCCAAATCCAAAAGTGCCGGCAAGACCTTTTCCGGGTCCTCCTGATATCTGAGTGGCGCCAAGACCATGCTCATATGTGCTGTTAAATCCAAGTAGCCCGCCTCCAGCACCACCAGCATCCTCATAAAATGCATTTCCAATGAGTGTACCATCCTGAGACCCTGCACCAGCAGCAACGATTATTCGACTTTTCAAACCGTTGAAATCTCCAAAATCGCCTGGTTCAAGGCGTATATCAGATGATCCGCCGCCAGAAAATTGGCCTGGACCTCCGCCACCATAAGACGGAAGAGTTGCACCAGAATAATATTTAGATCCGACATGAAGATATAATTTTATAGATTTATCAAATTTAATATACCCTTTGACGTATGCACCGTTCGATCCAGTTCCTATGCCTGAAGCACCCCATAATTCAAACAAATATTTTCCGGATTGGAGAAGAATTTCATAAGGCTCCGAATGCGTTGCATTAATTCCTCGATAATCATACAGAGCAGTTAAATTTTTCGTTTTAACTTAGAATCAATTTAGAAAACCTTTTTTATCAAAAGCTAAGACGAAAAGTGCTCAATAAAATTAACCTTATTGTATCATCTCAACAGAATTATTGAAAGGACATCAATAACAAAGTTCTGATATAATATCCATGAATCATGTTATCATCAGTAAAACTACAGACAGTATTTCATTTTTCGAATTTATCGAAAGTGTTGAAGATATAAATAACTAAAGATATTCATAGAATACTTTTGAGAACAACTCACAAAATTTGTTTCAAATTGAGTAATTCGTATGTAGCCATTTCCTTCATGGCCAGTTTCGGTGCCGCCATGTGGACTTGGCATAGATGTTTTGCCATCAATCATCAATCCATCGGTGAATTTATAACCGCTGTAATGAATTGATGGATCGATTGAATTAGAAAATTTTATGTCACTTTTTGTCGAGGAACTCAAAATAGCGATACAACCTTTATAACCGCTAATGAAGGAGCTCCCCCTCAACCGCCGTAGTAATTGGGTAATTCGGAGTTTCCATCTCCAAAATATCCGCCACCGCCATTTCCGTCATTTTCACGATAGTTTCCTAATCTATTTGGATTTCCAGCTCCAAAACCAAAAGTGCCAGCAAGACCTTTCCAGGTCCTCACGATGTCTGATTAGCGCCAAGACAATGCTCAGATGAGCTGTTGAATCCAAACAGCCCATCACCAACACCTGCACCAGCAGCAACGATTATTCGACTTTTCAAACCGTTGAAATCTCCAAAATCGCCTGGTTCAAGACGGATGACGGATGATCCGCCACCAGAAAATTGGCCTGGACCTCCGCCGCCATAAGATGGAAGTTTTGCACCAGTATAATATTGAGATCCGACATGAAGATATAAATTTATAGGTTTCTCAAATTTAATATATCCTCTCACGTAAGCTCCGTTAGCTGCAGTTCCACCACCAGATACGTCCCATAATTCAAACAAATATTTTCCTGGCCGAAAGAAAATTTCATAAGGCTCTGAATGTGTTGCATTAATACCTCGATAATCATATAGAAAAGTTAAATTTTTCGTTTGAACCTATCTATATTTAAAACTACTTTCTTGTCAGAATCAATTATGAAAAGTGACAAATGAAATTAACTTAATTGCTCTCTGGAAATATTGAGAGTACTTGCCAATATAAGATAACGTAAACTATATAAATCTGAACAAGAATATTGAAAGGGCATCAATAATAGTTCTAAATCATTTATTCTGTTTATCAATCAATATATTTTATGCATCTAATTCAAAGCTTAAATAATCATCTATAAGTTCACATACAAATATTCAAATGTCAAATTTATTGAAAGTGTTGTTTATGATTCAATGATAAGAAGTATAAAATAACTAAAGATATTCATAGAATACTTTTGAGAACAACTCACATAATTTGTTTCAAATTGGGTAATTCGTATGTAGCCATTCCCTGAATGGCCAACCTCAGTGCCACCATGTGGACTTGGCATAGATGTTTTACCATCAATCATTACTGCGTCTGTGAACTTATAACCGCTGTAGTGAATTGATGGATCAAATGAATTAGAAAATTTAATGTCACTTTTCGTTGAAGAATTCAGAATGGCAATACAATCTTTATAACCGCTAATGAAGGAGCTTCCCCTCCACCGCCACAATGTTGAGGTATTTCGGAGTTTCCACCTCCGAAATACCCACCACCACCGCCAGCATTCCCATCATTATCTCCTGAGGATTCTATTCTATTTGGATTTCCAGCTCCAAATCCAAAAGTGCCGGCAAGACCTTTTCCGGGTCCTCCTGATATCTGAGTGGCGCCAAGACCATGCTCATATGTGCTGTTAAATCCAAGTAGCCCGCCTCCAGCACCACCAGCATCCTCATAAAATGCATTTCCAATGAGTGTACCATCCTGAGACCCTGCACCAGCAGCAACGATTATTCGACTTTTCAAACCGTTGAAATCTCCAAAATCGCCTGGTTCAAGGCGTATATCAGATGATCCGCCGCCAGAAAATTGGCCTGGACCTCCGCCACCATAAGACGGAAGAGTTGCACCAGAATAATATTTAGATCCGACATGAAGATATAATTTTATAGATTTATCAAATTTAATATACCTTTGACGTATGCACCGTTCGATCCAGTTCCTATGCCTGAAGCACCCCATAATTCAAACAAATATTTTCCGGATTGGAGAAGAATTTCATAAGGCTCCGAATGCGTTGCATTAATTCCTCGATAATCATACAGAGCAGTTAAATTTTTCGTTTTAACTTAGAATCAATTTAGAAAACCTTTTTTATCAAAAGCTAAGACGAAAAGTGCTCAATAAAATTAACCTTATTGTATCATCTCAACAGAATTATTGAAAGGACATCAATAACAAAGTTCTGATATAATATCCATGAATCATGTTATCATCAGTAAAACTACAGACAGTATTTCATTTTTCGAATTTATCGAAAGTGTTGAAGATATAAATAACTAAAGATATTCATAGAATACTTTTGAGAACAACTCACAAAATTTGTTTCAAATTGAGTAATTCGTATGTAGCCATTTCCTTCATGGCCAGTTTCGGTGCCGCCATGTGGACTTGGCATAGATGTTTTGCCATCAATCATCAATCCATCGGTGAATTTATAACCGCTGTAATGAATTGATGGATCGATTGAATTAGAAAATTTTATGTCACTTTTTGTCGAGGAACTCAAAATAGCGATACAACCTTTATAACCGCTAATGAAGGAGCTCCCCCTCAACCGCCGTAGTAATTGGGTAATTCGGAGTTTCCATCTCCAAAATATCCGCCACCGCCATTTCCGTCATTTTCACGATAGTTTCCTAATCTATTTGGATTTCCAGCTCCAAAACCAAAAGTGCCAGCAAGACCTTTCCAGGTCCTCACGATGTCTGATTAGCGCCAAGACAATGCTCAGATGAGCTGTTGAATCCAAACAGCCCATCACCAACACCTGCACCAGCAGCAACGATTATTCGACTTTTCAAACCGTTGAAATCTCCAAAATCGCCTGGTTCAAGACGGATGACGGATGATCCGCCACCAGAAAATTGGCCTGGACCTCCGCCGCCATAAGATGGAAGTTTTGCACCAGTATAATATTGAGATCCGACATGAAGATATAAATTTATAGGTTTCTCAAATTTAATATATCCTCTCACGTAAGCTCCGTTAGCTGCAGTTCCACCACCAGATACGTCCCATAATTCAAACAAATATTTTCCTGGCCGAAAGAAAATTTCATAAGGCTCTGAATGTGTTGCATTAATACCTCGATAATCATATAGAAAAGTTAAATTTTTCGTTTGAACCTATCTATATTTAAAACTACTTTCTTGTCAGAATCAATTATGAAAAGTGACAAATGAAATTAACTTAATTGCTCTCTGGAAATATTGAGAGTACTTGCCAATATAAGATAACGTAAACTATATAAATCTGAACAAGAATATTGAAAGGGCATCAATAATAGTTCTAAATCATTTATTCTGTTTATCAATCAATATATTTTATGCATCTAATTCAAAGCTTAAATAATCATCTATAAGTTCACATACAAATATTCAAATGTCAAATTTATTGAAAGTGTTGTTTATGATTCAATGATAAGAAGTATAAAATAACTAAAGATATTCATAGAATACTTTTGAGAACAACTCACATAATTTGTTTCAAATTGGGTAATTCGTATGTAGCCATTCCCTGAATGGCCAACCTCAGTGCCACCATGTGGACTTGGCATAGATGTTTTACCATCAATCATTACTGCGTCTGTGAACTTATAACCGCTGTAGTGAATTGATGGATCAAATGAATTAGAAAATTTAATGTCACTTTTCGTTGAAGAATTCAGAATGGCAATACAATCTTTATAACCGCTAATGAAGGAGCTTCCCCTCCACCGCCACAATGTTGAGGTATTTCGGAGTTTCCACCTCCGAAATACCCACCACCACCGCCAGCATTCCCATCATTATCTCCTGAGGATTCTATTCTATTTGGATTTCCAGCTCCAAATCCAAAAGTGCCGGCAAGACCTTTTCCGGGTCCTCCTGATATCTGAGTGGCGCCAAGACCATGCTCATATGTGCTGTTAAATCCAAGTAGCCCGCCTCCAGCACCACCAGCATCCTCATAAAATGCATTTCCAATGAGTGTACCATCCTGAGACCCTGCACCAGCAGCAACGATTATTCGACTTTTCAAACCGTTGAAATCTCCAAAATCGCCTGGTTCAAGGCGTATATCAGATGATCCGCCGCCAGAAAATTGGCCTGGACCTCCGCCACCATAAGACGGAAGAGTTGCACCAGAATAATATTTAGATCCGACATGAAGATATAATTTTATAGATTTATCAAATTTAATATACCCTTTGACGTATGCACCGTTCGATCCAGTTCCTATGCCTGAAGCACCCCATAATTCAAACAAATATTTTCCGGATTGGAGAAGAATTTCATAAGGCTCCGAATGCGTTGCATTAATTCCTCGATAATCATACAGAGCAGTTAAATTTTTCGTTTTAACTTAGAATCAATTTAGAAAACCTTTTTTATCAAAAGCTAAGACGAAAAGTGCTCAATAAAATTAACCTTATTGTATCATCTCAACAGAATTATTGAAAGGACATCAATAACAAAGTTCTGATATAATATCCATGAATCATGTTATCATCAGTAAAACTACAGACAGTATTTCATTTTTCGAATTTATCGAAAGTGTTGAAGATATAAATAACTAAAGATATTCATAGAATACTTTTGAGAACAACTCACAAAATTTGTTTCAAATTGAGTAATTCGTATGTAGCCATTTCCTTCATGGCCAGTTTCGGTGCCGCCATGTGGACTTGGCATAGATGTTTTGCCATCAATCATCAATCCATCGGTGAATTTATAACCGCTGTAATGAATTGATGGATCGATTGAATTAGAAAATTTTATGTCACTTTTTGTCGAGGAACTCAAAATAGCGATACAACCTTTATAACCGCTAATGAAGGAGCTCCCCTCAACCGCCGTAGTAATTGGGTAATTCGGAGTTTCCATCTCCAAAATATCCGCCACCGCCATTTCCGTCATTTTCACGATAGTTTCCTAATCTATTTGGATTTCCAGCTCCAAAACCAAAAGTGCCAGCAAGACCTTTCCAGGTCCTCACGATGTCTGATTAGCGCCAAGACAATGCTCAGATGAGCTGTTGAATCCAAACAGCCCATCACCAACACCTGCACCAGCAGCAACGATTATTCGACTTTTCAAACCGTTGAAATCTCCAAAATCGCCTGGTTCAAGACGGATGACGGATGATCCGCCACCAGAAAATTGGCCTGGACCTCCGCCGCCATAAGATGGAAGTTTTGCACCAGTATAATATTGAGATCCGACATGAAGATATAAATTTATAGGTTTCTCAAATTTAATATATCCTCTCACGTAAGCTCCGTTAGCTGCAGTTCCACCACCAGATACGTCCCATAATTCAAACAAATATTTTCCTGGCCGAAAGAAAATTTCATAAGGCTCTGAATGTGTTGCATTAATACCTCGATAATCATATAGAAAAGTTAAATTTTTCGTTTGAACCTATCTATATTTAAAACTACTTTCTTGTCAGAATCAATTATGAAAAGTGACAAATGAAATTAACTTAATTGCTCTCTGGAAATATTGAGAGTACTTGCCAATATAAGATAACGTAAACTATATAAATCTGAACAAGAATATTGAAAGGGCATCAATAATAGTTCTAAATCATTTATTCTGTTTATCAATCAATATATTTTATGCATCTAATTCAAAGCTTAAATAATCATCTATAAGTTCACATACAAATATTCAAATGTCAAATTTATTGAAAGTGTTGTTTATGATTCAATGATAAGAAGTATAAAATAACTAAAGATATTCATAGAATACTTTTGAGAACAACTCACATAATTTGTTTCAAATTGGGTAATTCGTATGTAGCCATTCCCTGAATGGCCAACCTCAGTGCCACCATGTGGACTTGGCATAGATGTTTTACCATCAATCATTACTGCGTCTGTGAACTTATAACCGCTGTAGTGAATTGATGGATCAAATGAATTAGAAAATTTAATGTCACTTTTCGTTGAAGAATTCAGAATGGCAATACAATCTTTATAACCGCTAATGAAGGAGCTTCCCCCTCCACCGCCACAATGTTGAGGTATTTCGGAGTTTCCACCTCCGAAATACCCACCACCACCGCCAGCATTCCCATCATTATCTCCTGAGGATTCTATTCTATTTGGATTTCCAGCTCCAAATCCAAAAGTGCCGGCAAGACCTTTTCCGGGTCCTCCTGATATCTGAGTGGCGCCAAGACCATGCTCATATGTGCTGTTAAATCCAAGTAGCCCGCCTCCAGCACCACCAGCATCCTCATAAAATGCATTTCCAATGAGTGTACCATCCTGAGACCCTGCACCAGCAGCAACGATTATTCGACTTTTCAAACCGTTGAAATCTCCAAAATCGCCTGGTTCAAGGCGTATATCAGATGATCCGCCGCCAGAAAATTGGCCTGGACCTCCGCCACCATAAGACGGAAGAGTTGCACCAGAATAATATTTAGATCCGACATGAAGATATAATTTTATAGATTTATCAAATTTAATATACCCTTTGACGTATGCACCGTTCGATCCAGTTCCTATGCCTGAAGCACCCCATAATTCAAACAAATATTTTCCGGATTGGAGAAGAATTTCATAAGGCTCCGAATGCGTTGCATTAATTCCTCGATAATCATACAGAGCAGTTAAATTTTTCGTTTTAACTTAGAATCAATTTAGAAAACCTTTTTTATCAAAAGCTAAGACGAAAAGTGCTCAATAAAATTAACCTTATTGTATCATCTCAACAGAATTATTGAAAGGACATCAATAACAAAGTTCTGATATAATATCCATGAATCATGTTATCATCAGTAAAACTACAGACAGTATTTCATTTTTCGAATTTATCGAAAGTGTTGAAGATATAAATAACTAAAGATATTCATAGAATACTTTTGAGAACAACTCACAAAATTTGTTTCAAATTGAGTAATTCGTATGTAGCCATTTCCTTCATGGCCAGTTTCGGTGCCGCCATGTGGACTTGGCATAGATGTTTTGCCATCAATCATCAATCCATCGGTGAATTTATAACCGCTGTAATGAATTGATGGATCGATTGAATTAGAAAATTTTATGTCACTTTTTGTCGAGGAACTCAAAATAGCGATACAACCTTTATAACCGCTAATGAAGGAGCTCCCCCTCAACCGCCGTAGTAATTGGGTAATTCGGAGTTTCCATCTCCAAAATATCCGCCACCGCCATTTCCGTCATTTTCACGATAGTTTCCTAATCTATTTGGATTTCCAGCTCCAAAACCAAAAGTGCCAGCAAGACCTTTCCAGGTCCTCACGATGTCTGATTAGCGCCAAGACAATGCTCAGATGAGCTGTTGAATCCAAACAGCCCATCACCAACACCTGCACCAGCAGCAACGATTATTCGACTTTTCAAACCGTTGAAATCTCCAAAATCGCCTGGTTCAAGACGGATGACGGATGATCCGCCACCAGAAAATTGGCCTGGACCTCCGCCGCCATAAGATGGAAGTTTTGCACCAGTATAATATTGAGATCCGACATGAAGATATAAATTTATAGGTTTCTCAAATTTAATATATCCTCTCACGTAAGCTCCGTTAGCTGCAGTTCCACCACCAGATACGTCCCATAATTCAAACAAATATTTTCCTGGCCGAAAGAAAATTTCATAAGGCTCTGAATGTGTTGCATTAATACCTCGATAATCATATAGAAAAGTTAAATTTTTCGTTTGAACCTATCTATATTTAAAACTACTTTCTTGTCAGAATCAATTATGAAAAGTGACAAATGAAATTAACTTAATTGCTCTCTGGAAATATTGAGAGTACTTGCCAATATAAGATAACGTAAACTATATAAATCTGAACAAGAATATTGAAAGGGCATCAATAATAGTTCTAAATCATTTATTCTGTTTATCAATCAATATATTTTATGCATCTAATTCAAAGCTTAAATAATCATCTATAAGTTCACATACAAATATTCAAATGTCAAATTTATTGAAAGTGTTGTTTATGATTCAATGATAAGAAGTATAAAATAACTAAAGATATTCATAGAATACTTTTGAGAACAACTCACATAATTTGTTTCAAATTGGGTAATTCGTATGTAGCCATTCCCTGAATGGCCAACCTCAGTGCCACCATGTGGACTTGGCATAGATGTTTTACCATCAATCATTACTGCGTCTGTGAACTTATAACCGCTGTAGTGAATTGATGGATCAAATGAATTAGAAAATTTAATGTCACTTTTCGTTGAAGAATTCAGAATGGCAATACAATCTTTATAACCGCTAATGAAGGAGCTTCCCCCTCCACCGCCACAATGTTGAGGTATTTCGGAGTTTCCACCTCCGAAATACCCACCACCACCGCCAGCATTCCCATCATTATCTCCTGAGGATTCTATTCTATTTGGATTTCCAGCTCCAAATCCAAAAGTGCCGGCAAGACCTTTTCCGGGTCCTCCTGATATCTGAGTGGCGCCAAGACCATGCTCATATGTGCTGTTAAATCCAAGTAGCCCGCCTCCAGCACCACCAGCATCCTCATAAAATGCATTTCCAATGAGTGTACCATCCTGAGACCTGCACCAGCAGCAACGATTATTCGACTTTTCAAACCGTTGAAATCTCCAAAATCGCCTGGTTCAAGGCGTATATCAGATGATCCGCCGCCAGAAAATTGGCCTGGACCTCCGCCACCATAAGACGGAAGAGTTGCACCAGAATAATATTTAGATCCGACATGAAGATATAATTTTATAGATTTATCAAATTTAATATACCCTTTGACGTATGCACCGTTCGATCCAGTTCCTATGCCTGAAGCACCCCATAATTCAAACAAATATTTTCCGGATTGGAGAAGAATTTCATAAGGCTCCGAATGCGTTGCATTAATTCCTCGATAATCATACAGAGCAGTTAAATTTTTCGTTTTAACTTAGAATCAATTTAGAAAACCTTTTTTATCAAAAGCTAAGACGAAAAGTGCTCAATAAAATTAACCTTATTGTATCATCTCAACAGAATTATTGAAAGGACATCAATAACAAAGTTCTGATATAATATCCATGAATCATGTTATCATCAGTAAAACTACAGACAGTATTTCATTTTTCGAATTTATCGAAAGTGTTGAAGATATAAATAACTAAAGATATTCATAGAATACTTTTGAGAACAACTCACAAAATTTGTTTCAAATTGAGTAATTCGTATGTAGCCATTTCCTTCATGGCCAGTTTCGGTGCCGCCATGTGGACTTGGCATAGATGTTTTGCCATCAATC